ATTGGTGCACCCGGACCAGGACGGAGGCAACAGAGGACGACCTACCCACTTTCTTAATCAGGTTGGCAAGCGTATCATACTACCGGCTTCGCACCTGGGTAGCCCGCGGTCCATGTACAAGTCGTATCAAGATTCGATGGCAATTGTTCGTGAGTATGGACGGCCCGACGTCTTCTTGACGGAAACGTGCAACCCTAAGTGGGACGAGATTCTTGAAGCGATACCTTCCGATATCCAGACAGCTCAAGATCGACCAGACATCGTGGCTCGCGTGTGGCAGCAGAAACTGCAAGCGACGCTTGACGATTTAAACCAAGGCGTTCTGGGACGAGTGCGCGCGCGGATTTACGTTGTCGAGTTTCAAAAACGAGGGCTCCCCCACGCTCACGTATTGATTATTCAGGCTGACGAAGACAAACCTCGAACGCGCGAGATCGTAGACAAGATGGTATGCGCTGAGATCCCAGATAAGGATACAAACCCTCAGCTGTATGAGACGGTCATGGCATGCATGCTCCATGGTCCATGTGGGCCTGCAAACCCTTCCTGCGCGTGTATGAAGGACGGCAAGTGCACCAAAGGATATCCGAAGCCCTTAGCAGAAGTTACACAAGCCAATGCCAATGGATATCCAGTGTACAGACGACGTCGACGGCAAGAAGGTGTTCTAAAGTTCAAAGGCAGAGAATACGACAATGCTACGATCAACCAGTGGGTTGTACCGTACAACCCGTACTTATCCCAGAAGTACAACTGCCACATCAATGTGGAAGTGTGCACGGATATTACTGCGGTTAAATACCTGTACAAGTATGTGTACAAAGGACCCGACATGGCTATACTCACTGTGGAAGAAGTCCGAGGAGGGCAGCAGAGTGCGCGTCGAGAACCAAATGAGATTCTACGTTTCTTGAGCGCCCGTTACATTTCTCCGGTGGAAGCTTGCATGCGCCTGCTCGATTTCACGATTCAGGGGAAAACCCATGCGGTGACACAGCTGACGGTTCATCTCGAGTCAGGGCAGACGGTTTGCTTCCGCGAGACGGAAAACCCGGAGGCGGTTTTGGAACGTGGTAGTCACACGATGCTGACCAGATTCTTTGAGTTGTGTGCGAGTGAAGAACCTCAGAATCATATTGCCAGAACGATGTTGTATCAGGATATCCCCAAAGAGTTCTGCTGGAAAGCGCCGGAGAAAGGGCAACCGAAAAGGTGGGTTCGCCGGAAACAGTATCAAGCTGCTGTTGGTCGCATGATTCACGTGTCTCCTCGTGATATGGAGCGGTTCTACCTTCGGCTACTGCTCTGTCAGCGTAGAGGTCCAACGTCGTTTGAAGACTTGAGAACGGTTAACGGAATTGTCTGCCCAACATTCCAAATTGCGGCGCGGGAGGCTGGCTACTTGGAGAATGACAACGAGTGGGTTTCGTGTTTGACGGAAGCGGCTGAGTTCCAAATGCCGTATCAACTACGCCAGCTCTTCGTCACCATTCTGGTGTATTCAGCTCCAGCAAATGTTGGTGTTCTATGGGATCGGTTTTTCGCGGATCTTTCCCAAGACTTCGCACGCAAACATCAGGCTTTGATGGACCCCTTCAAGTCGGCGTTGGTCGAATTTGAAACGCTGATGAGCATTCAAGAACTACTTCAAGCGAGTGGGTATGCGGTAGCTGACTTCGACGAGCTTCCTCAGTTGGGGTCGTTCCCAACATTGATTCGTGAAGCGCTTCGCCAAAACGGATTACTTCGACGTGAGCTCACTGGATACGATGCGTCAGCTTTGGAGGCGATTGTAAACACAGAAGATCAGCTAAACGAAAGTCAGCGGGTGGTTTACGACCAGATTATTGAAGCGGTTGAATGCCCGGAGGAAGGCAAGAAACTATTTTTTGTTGATGGCCCGGGTGGTACTGGAAAATCTACACTGCTTCGAAACATACTGGCCAAAGTCAGACTCTCGGGGAAAATCGCCATCGCTGTGGCGTCTAGCGGTATTGCCTCGCTCTTGCTCATGGGTGGTAGGACAGCTCATTCTACATTCAAGATCCCTTTGAAATTGAACGAGAGCTCGACGTGCGGTATCAGGAGAACTCCCACATTCAGGAGTTGATTAAGCATGCAAGTTTAATTATTTGGGACGAAGCATCTATGGTCTCATCGTCACGCATTCGAGGCAGTAGACGACACTGCGGGACATACTTGACACGACACCGAGCCTTTTTGGGGGGGAAAGTGTTTGTACTTTCGGAGAGATTTCCGCCCAGATTCTCCCGGTCGTTAAGAATGGAACACCCGTCGAGACAATTGACGCTTGCCTCAAGTCGTCTAGGCTGTGGCCCCAATTCCAGACGTTCCGTCTTACGGAAAACATGCGAGTGCGCACAGCTGATACTGCAGACACTGCTGAGGAAATGGCTGCGTTCTCCGAGTTTCTGCTGCAAGTCGGGGAGGGAAGGCATGATGTAAACCCTTCCCTAGGAAACGATTACATGAAGATCCCGCGCGATATGCTGATTGAGAATCCACCTGTGCCTGAGGATGAGGACCAGGAAATTCGTCCGGGCGTTATTCCAAGAGGCATGGATCGGATCATCGACGAGATGTATGGCGAGATTAACAATTCCGAAGTTGCTACCGATGAATATTTCGCTAACCGTACGATCCTCACGACCACGAACGCAATCGTGCACCGCATCAATGAAGCGGTGACCGCTCGATTAACTGGACAGGCGCGGGAATACATGTCTTCCGATTCTGTACAAGACGACGGTGACGGCAATTTCTTCGAGCAGGAGGTACTCCACTCGATGAATATCAGTGGAATGCCTCCCCACAAGTTGACCCTCAAGGTAGGAATGCCTATCATGATGATGCGGAACCTCAATCCAGATCTAGGGCTGTGCAACGGAACACGGCTTCGAATTGTGGCCCTCAAGCCACATGTCATCCACGCCACAATCATGACCGGTGAGCGACAAGGGCAACATGTGTTGATTCCCCGCATTGTTTTCATCAGTGACGGAGACATTCGGAGCTTTCCGTTTCATTTGAGACGCAAGCAGTTTCCTGTCCAACCGGCCTTTGCGATGACGATTAACAAGGCGCAAGGACAAACGGTGCAGTACTTGGGGCTGTATCTTGCTACGCCTTGCTTCTCCCACGGGCAGCTGTACGTTGCGATGTCGCGAGTTACTTCAAGATCAAGATTCAAGGCGCTGGTCGAGTACCCAAAGCTGGAGGAGGAGGATGGGAACTACGCCCAGAATATTGTCTACAGACAGATCTTTGGTTCGGAGTAGGAATGTTCAATTTCAAATGCATTTAATACATAACGTTTACATAAAACATGTTTAAGCGCAGCGAAGGCGTGAGCCCATTTCCCCTGGGACTACAGCCTGCCACCTCCGCCGCGTAGCGGCGGCGAACGGCTAGTCTTACCCTCTAGTGGAGTCTGTTGTCTGTCCGTCCGTACGTCCGTCCGCGGCTAGGGTTAATTAATGTAACGCAAATGCGGGCGTTCTACTGGCTGCCGAGCGCAGCGAAGGCGGCCTCGATTCGCTAAAATTGCAAAATGTGGTGTACATATTATATGTGGTCTACACATCGTACTTAAATGCACCGTCTCATTTTCAGCTGCGGTTCGCCACCTCATGCGAAGGGCGCTGCCTGTGTGCGCGTTAGTTAGCATTAGTATAAGGCGCCGATAAGCACACGCGTACTATATCGTCGTAGGAGCTGTTGAAAAAAATTGTAGGATTTGGTGACTCATATTTCGGCCTCAATCGAAACTTTAGTACTTATAGGATATATAATGATATTTAGGCTTCGTAGTACTTTTAAATAATAAAACTTACAAAACTTTTAAGTAATACTATGTTTTGAATATTTTATATTTTTCTTGCAGACGTTTATAGCAGTACTACAAAAAATTAATTAGTTGCGCAAGAAAAAAACGCATGTTATTACTAATACTAATCAATTTAAACCAAAGTAACGGTATTATATTTGCGTTAGATAAAGATGCACAATTTATTACTAATATTAAATATTCGAACACTTTTAAAATGTGAATATAGTGGCTTCCCACCATCCCACCCCACATAACCATGTACACCACTCCGCCGCCGATAAAAAGGATCGTATTCCTTTGTATTCGCGCGCGTAGTGTACGACCTTAAGAGATTGTGCGCACTTTTCACCACGATATGTAGCATACATCAAACAAAATAAAAACAGCGTTTGCGATTGAATTAGCGCGGAGCAAGTGGACAAGAACACGAAACACAGAGGACACCGGCGCACACTATGTACACGATGGGGTAGAGGGAAGAACACGAAGCACAGAAGGTCACGGACGTTGAAAAGGACTAAATTATGAGCAGCTAGTCATTCTGAAAAGCACAA